GCTCTCAGGGATACCTGCCACTAGTCAACAATTTATTTGTTTCAGAACAAACGAATCTTCAACTGCCCAGAGATTTTTTTCATTTCTATTGTCAAACTGAGGCATGTTTCGATGCACCGATAACCAAGTGGCACGCTAACTTTTTTCTTTTTCCAGTCGATTCTAGTTTGATTTTACGCATAGTATTATGTGAAGTCCTGAACAGTATTACTCGTAATTGACCTAAGTGCCGGAAGGAGAATGAATCCACGATACCTTATCGTCCGAGAGTTAATCCTCTATGGAAGACGGACATGTCTGGTTCAACCAGGGTGTTCGAATCGCTCTGGAGGTTGCCATTATCAACTGCATTAATCGAGTGATGAAGAACTATACCTCAAATTTACTTTTATCGGAACCCCGGGGCTTTCATCTATTTCACATCATAGTGTTAAGACGGAATTCCAACCGCGACGCTATGCACAAAATTTCTGGGGGCCGTAACCGAACACAAGAAATCAGAATACACACAAGAGCGCAGCGTGCTGATCGGAATCAGGTTAACGATTTGATGAATGATCAGGAGACTACATCAATTGATTAAACGATTACCTAAAACTAGGTCAAGCTGGCGCACGGACGAAATGGGCTGGACGGGTATTAGTCAGTGTCTGGCCTGAACAACGGTGTCACGTGATTGGACTTGCAATGGAAACTGATGGACGAATGTGTTCGTAGCACTTAGTGAATGGCACATCGTACCCCTGAGTTTCATGATCAGTCATGCATGCGGTTTGTTATGCCACAATTTGAAATTTAAAACCGCCTTGTCATGATAATCATAAATTTTGATGTGACTCAGAGACAGTATCCACTTCTAATTTGAGACAGCGGTTAACGTTAGAAGTTTACCATCTCTTCCACAAACTGTTGGTTAGGAAGCGGGAATACAGACCGAGAAAAACAAAATAAACGTACACCGGTTCACCTTCGCCACGTGACACGCCCCGTGAACAAGAGTGCTTTGACGAGGTCTGACTGATGCACTGGTCGCATTCCTCAGAATGCTCATCACAACATCTGCCGTACGGGTAGCTACCACCTTGGGAATAGGGCTGCGGATCCACCGGGTCACAACTGACGGGACAACCTTGAACCCAACCCGGCGGGCCACCAGATCCTCCGGGGCCACCGGAACCACACTGTCCACCGAGGCCCGGCATTGCTCCGCTAACATCACACTATGCAAAAGAAATATTCAGCTATGTTAGACTCCAGACATGTCATAAGGAGATTTGACACTATCCATCGATTGCGCAAAAAGAAAGCGAATGTTTTCTAATCGTTATAAATACTGACGGGGAGAAAAAGTGATCAGCACAAATACTCGATTTTAAACAATTCCGTTAATGCCAAACGAGAAACTATCGGATCTTTGGGATGCTGTCGTTGTAGTTGCAGCTGGATAAGTGATTGGAATCTCGTTTGCGTGTTTTTCTATAAAAAAAATGAATTCTTCCCCGGTTATGTAGCATGCTATTCTATCTGGTCCAATGATTAGGAAGCTTGCATATCCTAGTATCTACGCACTTGCCCGTTCTAAACTAGAACTCAATATTGGAAAGCCAAATGCACTATTTTCAATCAAAATCATTGATTTCGTTCAATGAAACGCGATCAAGAAGCAACGTTTCACTTCACAGAACATTGTGGGCTATCATGTGGAGTTCATTAAAACCTATTCACTTTGAGATATTCTTTCGAACGGAGTGAGAACAGAGAAAGAAAGTTTAAATATGGTAACCATAACCGCCACGTTTGAGAACGATGGGTTGAGCGATCATAAATTAGACTAACCCGAGGGTACAATTTTGATGCACACAGGCGAGATAATTTTTTTCGTCGAAATAAGGAAAATCGATCAGTTACTGAAGTTAATTTTAATTCTTCCGTTTGCAGATTGCAGTGAATTCAGGTAAAGCTCGTCAGGAATTAATGGTTTGAAATGAAAATCGCCTAAGACGCTGCTGATTACAGGTTTGAAGCCTTTGACGCACGTACAAAGGATTGCAACAAGTACCAAATGGTGATGGAAACTCTTGATCTTTACTATAGAGAAGTAATTTTTGTTCCACATCCACACATCCACATCTAAAAATCATATGATTTGTGAGAACCCAATGTGCTGGGTTCATACATCTCATCGTATTAAGGTAAACCGACTGCATTCGTACCCCAAATAGACGGTAAACGTCATCTGATCAGGAAAACGTTAAAAGTGGGTTAGCACTGCATGATCAAAACACATTCTGAAAAGCTAGAAAGCTTTCATATTTCCCACTCCGAATGAGAATACTTTCTGTTCCCCACAAGCTGATTGGTACGTTTGTGAGTGCATGCGTGCTACCCCACTGGTTGTATTGCTCCCCAGTAATTTTTCTCAGCATTTTGAAGACTTTTATTTACTCATGACATACCTCTGAAACACATTTCTAAATGTAGTGTCATTCTCAGGGATGAACTTGCAGGCCCTCTCTTAGAAAAACATCTACACGCATGTAAAAACGTTATTGCCAAAATACTCTCAGACACTAATCACCCATTAGACAACGAGTTTTCAAAATTGTATCTACATCATCCAGATTCTAATTGTATTTACACGAACCTCTGCATACTGTACCTCCAAAAGCCTCATAACGGTCGGGGGTGGGTGTCTAGGGTTGCGGGTGATCACCCTACCCTTGAACGTCGCGAAATGCTCCCATTAGACCAAGCGTCTCAAATAGCTTCTGCTGAGGAAGCCCTAGGAACTGTCTTCTCGTGACGGAGGTGTTTCCCACCAAAGTAAGAGGAGGAAAGGCCGACATCCGGGGCTACAACCGGGTTGATGGACCACTGGTAGTTCACCTAGGGGAGTTGGTCAAAAACCTTGATTCCAAACCAATCGAGAGGAGGCGTACGAACCACACCCATACCTTTCCGGTTGTGGCAGTGGTCACCGG